GAACTTAAGTTTCTTTATCTGTCAGATGAGGCAAATAATAGATTTTTACAAGGCTGTGTGAGGACTAGAAATAGTATATTTAAAAGCTGGCACAGTGCCTGGCATATAAAGGCTCGATAAATGATAGCTGCTATCATCATCATCATCATTGTCATCTTCATATTCCCACAGTTCTACTTACCTTTTGATGCTGGAGCCCTAGGACTTCGGGGGTTCTAGAGAAAGATAGGCATGACATTTTAGGGGAGCAGTCAACACTCATGAACTAAGACTTCTAATTCAGAATTCTGTATAACTGGGACTGTGCTGACACCCTCTGTGTTTATAGAGTCTGTTCCGAGTGTCGACGTGAGGATGGAAGGGCTGCTAAAGGAGTAAGCTGTAACACTATAGCCTCCATATTTTTCTAGTCACTTCCACTGATGTGCCTGAGACTACTACACTACTACAAGGGCTCCTGACTGCTTCTACTTCATTAGCAGTCAGTTGGATGGAACTATGGATGGCAGATGGTCAACAAATCAAGCATTTTACCAAGTTTGAATGGCATTTCCCTCCAATGAGTCCAAATTAAGGACTCCTAACTCCATTTTTACTCTTTACCCCAATTCTTGGTGGTCCATAGCCTCATTTCTCTAAGACTCTAAACGGAATTACAGAATTATAGAATTTGAAGTGGACATTCTAAGATTTTGACAACTCTGCTAAGTTCAGCAGCAATCTGTGTCGTGGGTATTGTACAGACACTGTGGGCTGGGATAGAGATATAAATAAGCCTGTGGTCTCAGCCCTTGCGGAAGTCATAGCCAGTGAATTGTTGGGAAGCAGGGAGACAGAAATGTCCTGTTGTTGTTGTTGTTGTTATGTGGTGTGGAGTCGGACTGTCCTTGGGTTTCCGAGGTAGTATTGCTACGGAAGTAGATTGCCCATCTTCCTTCCGGGGAGTGGCTGTATAAGTTTTTTCTTGGTGCTTCCACATACCCTGTCCTGGCTTCTACCCTCCTTACCTTCTGCAGGGTAATTTCTGTGCCTTTCTAGAGAATAAATTGTGCAGCCAGACACCATCATTGTTGTGTGATTGTGGGAAAATAATTTCCTTTCTGTTCACCTCTCAGTTTTTTCATCTGTATAATGGGTTATTGTGAGAATGAAATGGGATAATTCATGTAAAGACTTAGAACTATGTAAGCACAGTTTGTTACTCCATTTATTAACCATGGCAATGACTGTTGCCTTGGTAGCCATCAGTCCTGAATGCCAATCACTATGCCTTGCACTTATAATGGAACCAGGAATCATTTGTTGACAGGATGGATGAATGAAGGTTGCATCACCACCCAAGACAGGGCAGAGGATTGTGAGGGCCTCCCAAGGGGTATACATGTTATGCTCTGGGAGCCTGGCAGAGGAACAGGGAATTCTGATTGTAGGTCTGGAGGGATGTATGGTGGTGATTATGCATGAGCAGAACCTTGATGTGTGTGTCCAACTTCAGCAGACAGAAGAAGGTGGTGGATGGCCATCTATACCAAGAGGAAGCAAAGTGTAATGGCTAATAGCCCAGCCTTTGGAGCCAGGATGCTTAGGTTTGACTGCTGGTTTCTAGACCTTGAGCTAGCTTCTTCACTTCTTTGTGGCACAGAAAATAATAGTACCTGCTTCAAGGGTTATTCTGAGGAGTATATGCATTCTTTGTAAACCAAAAACCCAACTCACTGCCATCGAGTCATTTCTGACTCATAGTGACCCCCATTGGGTTTCTGAGGCTGTAAATCTTTACGGAAGTAGATCAACCCATCTTCCTTCCGCAGAGCAGCTGGGGGGTTTGAACTGCTCACCTTCCAGTTAGCAGTCAAGTACCTTATTCACTATGTCACCAGAGCAGTTAAAAATATAATAAATATAATATATGAACTATATATATTATATAAAATATAATAAATCAATAAATAAAAATAAAGACACAACCCAGAAGTATGAAAGTACGGACAGTGTTCTGGTTACCTAGTGCTGCTCTGACAGGAATACATCACAAATGGGATGGCCTTAACAAGCAGGAGTTTATTCTTACAATTTGGAGGCTTTACGTACAAGATCGAAGTGCCAGGCTCTAGGGGCTGGGTGAGAGCCCCTCAACCTTGGGGTCCAGGTCTGCCTCTTGCTCCCGGCCCACAGGAGCTAGAGGCGTTTCTTCACTCAGACAGCTGCTGGCTGCTGAGGCTGAGAAGCCCCAAGGTTGACAAGTAAAAAGGCACAGTCCTGATGTTACCAGACCACATGGCAGGCCATTGACTTAAGTCCATTGTAAGTCCCAAGGTCGGCAGAGCATGGCAAGCTGCTGAACAATGATCCAGCTGCATGCAGGGCTCAAGCGTGCCATGAGGTAGAGACCATTCCCCACGGCTTCTCCTTATATACAGGAAGCAGACCACATCCCTAAGGCAGCTACTCAGCTGCTCACAGTAGATTCCACCATGGAGTTGATGACCAGTCTCATCATGGGAAATACTACATCCAGTTGCCCAGCCACTCAACCAGGCCCAGCCAAGTTGACACACACATATAACTACCACAGACAGTAAGTAATATAGTGAGTGGAGATAAAAGGCAGTTTGGAAACAGTTCACAGATGTTTTTGAATATCTTCTTAATGAATTTGGAATTAACCCATGAGGAGCTCGCAAAATCCATTTCCACATTGCTGAAGCACAATGGTGACTTCCTTTTTAAAAGAGGAAGTACACTCTTCAGGTTGCCACGTCCCCAACCCTCCCTATCCCAGCACTCCCAACTATAGTGGTTTTGAACCAGCCGGCTTGATGGGGCCTAATGATCTGTATTTCTAATAAGTTCCCGGATGATGCTGATACTGCTGGTCCAGGATGATACTTTTGAGAACCACTGATTTATTGCATCTTGAACTCTGAGACATGGAATCATTTGCCATTTATCATTATGCTTGTACTATGGTTTCTGTTATACCTAGCCCATTCCATGCATTTAATACTATGTTCTTGGCCCCTGTGTCATTTGAACTTGCAATTTCTGGTATAATCAGTATGAGAAGGCTGGCTCCAGAGGCCCCAAGAGACAAATGAGCCAGGGAGAAATATTTGAGAGAGAATGAGGCTTAGCCTGAAGTAGGATGATGGGTAGCTGAAGCTGTGGGTATGTGTGAGCTCATCCCCCAGGAATATGTGCAGGGAGAAATGGCTCATGGGTGAACAGAATTTTGGGGGTCATTGGCACACCCTATTTTAAAGGAAGGGTAAAAGAACAATAACTGATGGAAAAGGCTAGAGGGAACTTTCAAAGAGGTAGGAGGAGAGATGAGAGAGAACTGATGGAGACTTCTTGGCTATATTATTAGACAGAGGGCTACTGGCAAACATCCAGGACCAGAGCTTAAATAGTTAAACAGCAAAGTTCTCAGGTGAGCTCACAGTGTGTGAGTGGTCAGGAAGCAGGTATCCTGTTACCCTTGCCCACAGCATGCCTGGCAACCTGCTGTTGCTCCAAGGCCTGGCTTGTTGTGAGCAGTTATCTCTGAGGTTCTGGTGACATGGTTGTAACTTGGAGCTGAGCATGGTGAGTATCATGTCACCTACTCCTTTTTTGCCATAACCTTTCTTTTTAAGTAGAAGTGTGTGGATCTTCTCTTTGTGGCCGTGGTGGGGGTACTTATAGCTGGACATTTTTGCTTTCAGAGTACATGTCAGGGAAGCATATCTGAGAAGGGAAAAATGGGAGCTAAAACTGAGAAGGCAGGTGGGTGGCGTTCAGTGGGTGGTCTTGAAGACCAGGGTTTGGACTTGGCACTGTGGGCAACAAGAATCTACACTGAGCTCTTGAGATGTGGTTAATACACCTGGGTTGCCCCAGTGCCATGCAATGGACCTAACACATATAGACATTCTGTAAATGAGGGGAGAGTCAGTGACTCAGTGAATTGGAGGTTTGAGAGACAAGTTTTAGAACAAATAGCCCCAAGAGTTAGTGTTGGGTGGTTCCAAGTCTACAAGCTTCGGAGCTAGAAACACCTGAAATTGTACTTCAGCTCTGGCCTCCCTACCTGCTATTTACCGTATCCAAGACACCAGTTTCATTGTTTGTAAATGGGAATAATGGTACTTGTTTGTGGGTTTGTATTTGATATTTATATCTAGCACAGAGGCTGGTACTCCCTGCACCATGACCAGTATTATTACTGAGTCCTTTCCCCTGGTATCTCCTCTGATCCTATCTTGTGTGGTATGGAGGGCAGGCCTTATCATCACCTTTTACAGATAAAGGCAGTAAGGCCTTAGTGAGGTGCCTTTCCTGGGGGGCCTTCCCTCATTGCATTTCCAGCTCTACCATTTCCTCCAGGCCTTTCTCTTTCATGAGGTCAATGAACTTGTAATTACAGGAGAAGGAGAAGATGGGGTGTGGTGGGCTTTTGGTGGCTCTGCCCCCTTGGTAAATTACAGAATTTTATCCTGAGGTAAATGTAGGGTTGCAGAAAAACCAGTTCATACATTTGACAGCTCCCCCATGACCGATACTCTGGTAGGTACTTCTTCAGTGCAGGTGGGTTTGAGTAGGGGGTTTCACTGAGGACCTACTATGTGCCAGGCTCTTGGCTGGGTACTTCAAATACCTCATTCCTAATCAAAATGGGCCCTGTGTTTCCCAATTTATATAGAAGGCTTTAAGATGTGAAGGGACTTGCCCATGCCTGAGGATCTGAATTCACATCTGTGTGATTGCAAAGCCCACACCCTTCCTTTTCTTAACTCTGGACATATTTGTGAATATCACATGTACTACAGCTGCTGGGCAGACACCTCACCTCACTCCACTTAGCTCTTACTGGCCAGGTGTGTAGTGCATGCAGCCACATGCACCTTGACTAACTTGAACTCAATTTTGTTTTCCAGGCCCTCTCTCAACTCATTGGCCTGTTGTCGTGGCCTTGGCGGCACCCTCCTTCTGTGGTCAGCCCTGGGCTTCCCTTGCCCATGCAGTCTTCTGTGCCCACTGTTGAAGGCCTTAGTAGCCCCCTCTTTGGGGCCTATACACTCCCTGCTTTCAAGTTCCAGCCACGCCATGAGAGTGTGGACTGGAGGCGCATTAGTGCCCTGGACATGGAACGTGTGGCACGGGAGCTCGATGTTGCCACCTTACAGGAAAACATTACTAGTGTCACCTTCTGCAACCTGGACAGGGAGACGTGCAGCCGCTGTGGGCAGCCTGTAGACCCTGTGCTGCTCAAGGTGCTGCGCCTTGCACAGCTCATCATTGAGTACCTCCTGCACTGCCAGGACTGCTTGAGTGGCAGTGTTGCCCAGCTTGAGGCCCGACTGCAGGCCAGCCTGGGTCAGCAGGAGCGTGGTCAGCAGGAGCTGGGCCGTCAGGCTAACGAGCTCAAGGGCGTGCGAGAGGAGAGCCGCCGGCGCCGTAAGATGATCAGCACCCTGCAGCAGCTGCTCCTGCAAACAGGTGCCCACAGCTACCACACGGTAAGGAATCTCTAGCTCAGTTGGGAGAGTGGGAGGGCTGTGAGCCCCAGCCACCAGACCACCACCATGGACCTCAGGGCCACTGTGGGCATTCACACCATGGACCTCAGGGCCACTGTGGGCATTCACACTGGTTAAGAGTAGATTTTAGAGATGCTGCTTATGACCAGAGAGCCCAAGGGTGCCTCATCAGATTCTACAGTGTGTGCCGGTGTGTGTGTGTAGATGACAAGTAGTCCCTGACTTACGACAGTTCTGTTCTGAAGACCCTGTTATAAGTCAGTTCTGATGCAAGTCAAATACTTCTTTTCTTTTTTTTAAGTTTCGTTATTACTGCTTTTTATTATCAGTGTCTTTGAACACCTGCAAATAAACATCTGAGAATGATAACATCAGCAAATTGTATCCTGCAACACTGTTTGTAGTACATATTACTAACAATAGGATGTAAAAAAACCAACCCAGGTAGTTGTTAAGTGCAGTTCAGTGTAATTCAAATACGTCAAAAGTTGGAGACTACCTGCATCTTGTGTGGGGGTTGTGTATGCATAGAGTGTGTATGCATTTATGGAGAAGATGTATGTCTGGTGTGTGTATATGTAAATGTATGGAGGGTATGTGTGTATTTTATGGATGATGTGAATATGTATGTGTATCTAATGTGTGTATGTGAATGTTTGGAGGGTCTATCTGTGTAGGGTGTGTGTGTGTGTATGTAGAGTTTGTGGGGTGTAATATGTGCTTATTTGTGTATAGGAGTGTGTACAACCAAAAAAAAAAAAAAAAACCTGTTGCCATCGACTTGATTCCAACTCATGGTGATCCTGGAGTTCAGAGTAGCACTTCTCCATATGGTTTCCAAGGCTGTAAATCTTTATGGAAGCAGACTGCCTGCCACATCTTTCTCCTGGGGAGTGGCTGTTAGGTTTGAACTGCCAACTTTTCAGTCAGCAGTAGAGTTCTTAACCTCTGTGCCAACAGGGTTTCTTCCAGGAATGTGTTTATAAGGATGTATTTAGGGAGGGTGGGTGTGTGTTTTAATCAAGGGTGTCTGTGTGTGTAAGGGTGTGTGTATTAATGGTGGGTGTGGGTGTGTGTGTACGTATGTACGGAGGGCTGTGTGAGTATGGATTTTGTATAGTGTATGTAGAGAGTGTGGTGTGTAAAGGCTTGTGTGAAAGTGTGTGTATGTGTGGAATCCATGTATGGTGAGGGGCTGGTAGAGCCAAGCCTGTTTTAGAAAAGTGACTCCATTATCCAACCAAGTGACAGTTCATTTCCCAGAGCAGCATTTGAGCATTTCCACCTATCTCCATGGAAAGTACAGATTGAAGACACTCAGCCTTTAATAAATCATCATGACAACCAGGTCCCAGGCCAGGCTCTGAGGAGGTAGGCACACATCATGCTGGTTCAGGCCTTCAAGAAATTAATGGTTTGTGGGTGGGTGGGACAAAAGGAATCATTATGATACAATATTAATTAATAGAATGGTAACTGATAGAATTGATGTAATAAAATATAATGTTAATTATGATTTTAAAAAGGGGTCAGAATCTTTTCAGTAGTAAGTAACAAAAAAGTAACCTTACTTGGTTTAGGCTAATAGGGAAATTATTGGTTAATTTATCTGAAAAATGCAGGGGTGGGGTTGCTCTCAAGTGTGCTTACCCCAGGACTCAGATGATGGCACCAGAATCTCATCTTTTTCTCTGCGGCTCTAGGCTCCTCTTCCTCTGTGTGAGTTCCATTCTCAGAAAGATTCTGCCCCGTATGGTGGCAAGTTGGCTACTGAAATGCCAGCTCTTCATTTTCCTAGATTCAAGGCTGGCATGAAAGAAGGCCTCCATTGGTCCTAGCAGTCCAACCAATGTCTCACCATGTTTCATTGACTGTATTTGGGTCTCATGCCCATCTCTGAACCAATCACAGGGCCATAGGATTGTAGGTTCTGATTGGCTTTGGTCTAGGTCAATGTTCCACTGTGGAACCAGGGATGGACTGAAGGATTGAGAGTAAGGGAGGAGGTGATTCTCCAGAAGAAAGCTGAGGTGCTGTTTTCAAAGGAAGAGGGCATGGCTCCTGTTCAGCCAAAAGTGAACGAATGTCCATTACACGTCAGGAAAGTGTTGGGGAAGATAAAGATACAACTGAGGAGCTGTGGGAGTACAGATGAGGAAGTACAGTTTTGTGAATGAATGTTACAGGCTGAGGCACCAATATGCCATGATAAGAGGGTGATTAGTGGGATGGAGGATGGCTTTTCAGTGGCCTGAGGGTTGGGTTTGTGTGGATGTTAATGGTGGAAGGAGAGGATAGCAAAGCCAGATCATGATGGCTTTGAATGCCATGCTAAGGAGTGTGAACTTTTGCCTGAAGGCAGTGGGTAGCTGCCCAACTTTTGGTGCCTGGTTTGTGAGTCTGCTGATGGAAGTGAGCGGGGCAGGAGAGAAAGGTGGGATGAGGGAAGAGGCTTATCATTTGGAATAAGATGCCTTATAAAATATCCCCTACCCCATCCAACTCATATTCTTTCTGAGAACTACAGATTCATGTGTTAACTTTAGAACTACAGAGTACACAAAGTCTGTCAATCCAGGCTGTATCATTTTGGATTGGGTTTGACTGTGGGTGACAAAAAACTCCAAGTAACAATTCTTCAAACCAGATAGATTATTTGTCTCTCTCATGAACAAAATCTGGAGATAAGCAACCCAGGGTGGTACGAAATGCCACTGTCATCAGGGGCCCAGTTTTTTCTGTGCATTGCTCTGTCAGCCTCATTGTGTAAGTCATGCCTCATAGTCCAAAATGGTTGCCTGAGTTCCAGCTCTCAGGTCCACATTCTATCCAGCAAGAGGAGAGAGTGTGAGGAATGGCATGACTCCTTCTTTAATGACACCAGAAGTTGCATATATCACTTTTTCCTATATGATAATTGACTGGGAGCTCGGGTGGCATAGTGCCTAAGGCATTTGACTGCTAACAAGAAGGCTGGCAGTTCAAACCCACCATCCACTCCTCGGAAGGAAGATTGGGAAATCTTCTATAGTGATACTGCCTCAGAAATCCAAAGAGGGGTCGCTTTGAGTCAGATCTGACTCTATGGCAGTGAGTTTGGTTTTTTTGGTTATATGATATTGACTAGCATTCAGTCACATGGCCATACCTGGTTGCAAGGGACCCTTGTAGTCTTCCTTTGCCTCATGGCCAACTACACAAAGATTTCTATTACTAGGGATAAAGGGAAAATGGATATTGGGAGACAACTGGTGATTTCTGGCTCATTTGCCTTTGTGCAAAGCGGTTCCCTTCAGTGTGCCCTCTTACTCTGATTGGCCAGTAATGGTGTACTGCACAGCTATGTTGAGAAAGATTTTGAAGTTTTACAGAGGAAAGATAATATGTTGGATTGGCGGAGTCTGAAATGCATCAGGGGAGAGACATGGAATTACAGATGCTATTTATTTGCTGCATCTAGTGGTTCTTAACCCTGAGTGGGACCTGGGTGTTTTTTTTTTTTAGTTTTTTTCTTATGGAAAATTTCAAATATATATAAAAGTAGAGTGAGTAATGTAATGAACCTTTGTCTACAGTGACCCAGCCCAACAGTTACCAACACATTCTCCCACCCCTGGATTATTTCAAACTGTGTTTGTCATATAATTTCAACTGTAAATATTTCAGTATTTGTCTAAAAGGCAAGGACTTCTAAATATTCACACAATGCTATTATCACACACTCAAAAATCAACAAAAATTTCCTTAATGTCATCAAGTATCCAGTCAGTATTCCTGGCTCCCCAAAGTACTGGTAGGTTTTTTTTTTTTTTTTTAAACATGTAAGTTGATTCTGATGTGCAGCTGGGGTTCTTATCACTGCCTTACTCAGAAAAATCAGATTCTTCTGGCTGAAGCAGCTCAGTGGTCCTCAGGGAATGGGAGTGTTTGTGTGGGGAGAACCCCAGTGACTCAAGTGATCCCACTCATGCCCTCCTCACTGCATCCTCTCCATGTAGTGCCACCTGTGTGACAAGACGTTCATGAATGCCACCTTTCTCCGGGGCCACATCCAGCGCAGGCATGCAGGAATGATGGAAAGCGGTGAGTCCAGGCTGCAGCCTGGGGCCCTCCCAGTAATATAATGAACCTTTGTCTACAATGACAAAGGTGGACAGTCCTGGGGTTGGTGTTCAGTGGGGTAGTGGGGACATATGTTAACAAACCTGCCTTCAGAACTCCATTATTCAGTTGAGGATGTGAGGCCTGTCTATGGGACTAGACAGGCTTTCTGACCATGTGTGCTGGGGAGAAGAGTTGGAAGTCAGACAGGTAAGTTCCAGTCTTTTTCCATTTCTGTTGCCCAGCTGCTTCCCCTTGTATCCAGCCCCTGAATCAGTCACCTTTGCTGTGAGTAGGGGCAATCAGACCAAGTGACTTTGAAGGGCTCTTACCTCCCAAGCTTCCGTGAAGTACAATTTTGTGATACTAACTACCTGTTGCTCTTGAGTGGATCCTGAGTCATAGCAACCCCATGTATGTCAGGGTAGACCTGTGGTCCATTGGGTTTTCAATTACTGACTTTTTGGAAGTAGATCTTCAGGACTTTCTTCCGAGGTGACTCAGGGTGGGCTTGAACTGCCAACCTTTCAGTTAGCTGTCGAGTGAATTAACCTTTTGACTCATCAGGGACCCTAATGGTAACTACAGATATGCTTAAATGGGGCAGATGAGCAACTGACCATTTCTTTGACTTCTATATTTAACATGAGCCTATCATGATGTATGTAAAGGAGTCCTTCTGGTGCAATGGGTGAAGCTCTTGGCTGCTAACCAAAAGGGTGGTGGTTCAAATCCACCCAGTGGCTGCTAGTGAAAAAGACCTGGCAGTCTGTTGCCGTAAAGATGAGTCAGAATCAACTCGACAGCACCCAACAGCAACAATCATGATATAATCTCTTTAATTTTACCTTTTAAAATTCCAAAATGAGTAGTAAAATCGTATGATTTCCCCATGAGAAGAGATTGTCTGTTTAACAAATGGTGCTGGCAAAACTGGATATCCATTTGCAGGAAAATGAAGTAAGATCTGTACCTCACACCATAAACAAAAATTAACTCCAGATGTATCAAAGACTTAAATGTGAAACCTAAAGCTATAAAATTCCTCAAGGACAAAATAGGGGCAAATTTAGGGGCCTGGTGGTGTAGTGCCTAAGGTGCTTGACTGCTAACCAGAAGGCTGGTGGTTCAAACTCACCAAGCACTCCTCAGAAGGAAGATTGGGCAATCTACTTCTGTAGAGATACTTCTTGGAAACCCAAGGAGGCATCACTATAAGTTGAATCAACTTGATGGCAGTAAGTTTTTTTTTTTTTAAGAATATATGGCATAAATAGACTATTAAGCATAACCCAAAATGTACAAACAGCAGAAGATAAACTAGATGAATACTCAAAACACACTTCTGTGGAGTCAGATCTGACTCGTAGTAACCCCTCCTTGGGTTTCCGAGGCAGTATCACTGTAGAAGTAGATTGCCCAATCTTCCTTCTGAATTGTGGCTGGTGGGTTTGAACTACCAGCCTTCCGGTTAGCAGTTGAATGCCTTAGGCACTATGCTACCAGAGCTCCTAAACTAGATGAATGGGACCTTCCAAAAATTAAATTTTTATGTGCTTCCAAAGACTTCTTCAAAAGAGTCAAAAGAGAATATGCAGGTTGGGAAAAAATATTTGGCATTGCCATATCTGACAAGGAACTTATCTCTAAAATTTATAGAAAACTCCAACACCTCAACAACAAAAAGACAAATAATCCAATTAAACATGGGCAGAAGACATGAATAGACATTTCACAAAAGAGGATATTCATGGGGCCAACAAACACATGAAGAAATGTTCACAAACGTTGTTGTTATTGTTGTTTGCCATTGAGTTGGCCCCGACTCATAGCGACCCCTCCTTGGGTTTCCGAGGCAGTATCACTACGAAAGTAGGATTGCCCAACCTTCCATCCGAGGAGTGGCTGGTGGGTTTGAACCGCCAGCCTTCTGGTTAGCAGTCAAGTGCCTTAGGCACTATGCTACCAGAGCTCCTCATTAGCCATTAGAGAGATGCAAATTAAAACAACAGTGAGATACCATCTTGCCCCAGCACTAGTAGCAAAGTTCAAGACAGAAAATAACAAATGCTGGCAAGGATGTGGAGATACTGGGACTCTCATACACTGCTGGTAGGACTGTCAAATGATACAACCGCTGTGGAAGCAGTATGGTGATTTCTTAGAAAGTTGTAATTAGAAATACCATTTGACCCAGCCATTCCATTACTAGGTATATATCCTAAAGAAGTGAGAGCCAGGCCAAGAATAGATATATGCATACCCATGTTCATCGCAACACTATTTGCAATAGCCAAAAGATGGAAACGACCTAAGTACCCATCAAGAGAAGAATGAGTAATGAAACTATGATACATACATATAGTAGAATACTATGCAACCCTAAAGAATGATGTAGAATCTGCAAAACACTGCATAATGTGGATGAACTTGGAGGACATTGTGTTGAGTGAAATAAGTTGATCCCAGAAGGACAAATACTGTGTTAGTCCATTATTGTAAAAAGTCAAGGAAAGGTTTATACATGGGAGGAAGTTTTCTTTGTTGGTTACCAGAGGTGGGAGGGGAAGGAATGAAGGGAATACTGCTAGATAGATAGAGACAAGTATTGATTTTGGGGAAGGGAAGGGCAATGTACTAAATGTGAGTGATCAACATGGTGGCATTGAGGAAGAGGAAGACATAGAGAGGTGCATGGGAGGTACGGACAACAAAGATGAACCCTTTTGCACATTAAAAAAAAAGTTGTATGTTTTTCCTATGAAAAGATTTACAGACTTTATCCATTTTTTAGGGGTTCAACAAGAAATATCTGTTAAAATGTATGAATATAAAAATCTTATTAAATAAATCTTCTTTTTTCTTTTTCCATCTTTCAATTGCTTTTCCAAAGAATGACTTAGAATTTTAAAATAATGTCATTTACCTAATTACTGTGCATTTATTAAGTATTTGATTCTTCTTGGTGATGCATTGGAGGTTGCTAAGGACAGTAAGATTTTCCATTTAGTAAATAAACTTGATGAAAATATACTATGTTTTTGATATAGAAAATAAAAATCATGAATAATATCCCCAGTAGTTAATATTTTGGTGTATTTTCTGTCATTTATTTTTCTGTGTACATATATGGTCATCATATAATACACAGTTTTTACTACAGCTTATTTTCATTTAAGAATATATCATGTTTTCCCATGTCATGAAGTCACCTTTGAGCCCATGATTTTTAAATATCTGAATAGTATTCCATCATGTAGCTATCATAATTTATTTCATAATTTCCTCCTCTTGAATCTATGGGTTTACTCAAAACTTACCCTATTATAAATCACACTGTGGAGAACATTCCTGGGTGTAAATCTTCGTACATATCCCTGATGATTTCCTTAATGTAAAGTGCTGCAACAGGAGAGAAAATTTGTTCTTGAGAAAACTTGTGCTATGTGATGTTCATGACCTTTTTTGTTCTCAGGCAGGCAGCTCCCCAGACACGCCAGCACTCCTGTTCTACACTTACTTTATTAAACCAACTTAATTTCTGTCACATCCAAAGATTGCTTGTTTCCATAACACTCAACCCGAGAACAGCTATGTCTCTTTTCAGAGAAAAAGCTTAGTGTTTTACTAATAGTGTCATTTGTCTAACAATCACTAAATATATTTTAAAAACTAATAAATGTTCAAGTATAATTGTTGTCTTTCTCACTAATTCTTAACTCTTGCTTTACCAGTATGTGGTTTAGTTAGAAGAGTCTTTTTTTTTTTCTAGTTTTTATTGTGATTTGGGTGAAAGTTTATAGAGGAAATTCATTTTGCACACAGCAGTTCATACACGTTTTATTTCATGATATTGACTGTGATCCCCACAATGTAACAGCTCTCTTCGCACTTCTTCCTTGTAGTTACCTCTTCCCTGTGTCCTTTGCTACACATTCCTGCCCCCTGAGCTATCTCTCTGTGCAAATACTGCCCTTCAGTTCTCCTATGATTGATAGTTCTAAGGAGTCTATCTGGTGTAAATGTTCATCCTAATGCCTGTCTATTGTTTGACTGGAAGCCATGGGAGTGAGTTCAGTTCCAGGCCTGAAGGGTAACCAGGGGCCATAGTCTCAGGGGTCTCACCAGGCTCTATCAGTCCAGTAAACTTGGTGTTTTTTATAATTTTGAGTTTTGTTCCACGTCGTTCTCCCATGCTATCCAGGATCTGCGCTGATCCCTTTCCAAGTGTTTGATAGTGATAGCCAGGCATCATCTAGTTATTTGGGTCTCATGGTCATATAGGTTGAGATTTGCATGGTGTTTCCATGCACCTTTGGTTTTCTTCATTCTTCTTTGCTCTGGATGAGGAGAGACCAATTGTCATATCTAGATGGCTAGTTAGAAAGTTCTTTTAATAATTCATGCTGAGTCTGTTTTTTTTTTAACTTAGAAATTTTAGAATGTATACTTAAAGCAACTGTCATTAAAATGTTCATTTGCAATACATGCTGCCTTTTTTTCAATTGAAATTTTAAACTGTACATTTAAAGTTTGTTCTGTATCTTGATTATAATGTGGTTTTTTTTTGTTGTTGTTGTTAAGTGTCATTTAGTTGGTTCTGACTCAAAGTGACCCTGTGTACAACAGAATGTACACTTGTTTACTCAGGGGTATGTATTTGTCAAAACCCAGTGAACTATATATTTGAAATGGGGATTTTTTTTTTTTGGTGGGGCTTGTTTTAGTGTATGGTATGGTAGGTATATAGGTAATAAAACATTTGTAATTTTAACAGTCTTCACATTCAAAGTTCACTGACATGAATTCTGTTCATCATGTTGTTCAGCCATCACCATTAATTATATCTGAATTTTTCCATCACAGATGAATGCATTTTATTATATGTCGATTATAACTCAATGAAGTTGATTTTTTTAAATAAAAAGCTATATTACTGAAAAATGCTGAACTTAAAACTAGTTATTTTCATTACTTTAAATTCCTCTCTGATTGCTGTCAGAGTACAGAGATGTGTTCTTTGAATATATAACCAATTGCCATTGAGTTGATTCTGACTCCTAGGGACCCTATAGGACAGAGTAGAACTGCCCCACAGGGTTTCCAGGGTTGTAAATCTTTATGGAAGCAGACTGCCTCATCTTTCTCCCATGGAGCAGTTGGTGGGTTCAAACCACTAACCTTTTGGTTAGCAGCTGAATGCTTTAGCCACCAGAGCTTTTTTTGTACATATAATGTATACATAACCATTTGTACACACTTATTGGTATTCTGCTTCTGTTACTATAGTAATTTTTCATTCCCATTTCCATGTATCAGTACTGCCAAAAAAATGTACTTTGAATGCCAGTATGATGGTGGTGGTGTTGATAGCTGCTGTCAAGTTAGTTCCACCCCTTGTGTGCAGAGTGGAACTATGCTCTATAGGGTTTTCAAGGCTGTGACCTTCTGAAAGCAGATTGCCAGGTCTGTCTTCTACCCAAATGCCTCTGGGTAGTTTTGAATTGCCAACCTTTGGCTAATAGTCAAGTGCTTAACTGTTTGTGCCACCCAAGGACAATAGAATGATAACAAAACAAAAAACGAAATATCAAACTCACTGCTGTGGAGTTGATTCAACTCATAGTGACCCTTCCTTGGGTTTCTGAAGCAGTATCTCTACGGAAGTAGATTACGCAGTCTTCCTTCTGAGGAGTGGCTGATGGGTTTGCAGTCAATGATGGTGCACATTTATTCAACTGTAATGCCAGGCACTATGTTAAGCACAGGAACTCTGGTAGCATAGTGGCTAAGGCACTTGACTGCTAACCAGAAGGCTGGCGGTTCAAACCCACCAGCCACTCCTCGGAAGGAAGGTTGGGCATTCCTACTTCCGTAGTGATATTGCCTCAGAAACCGAAGGAGGGGTCGCTATGAGTCAGGGCCGACTCGATGGCAAACAACAACAACAACAACATGTTAAGCACCTTGCATTATTGTCACATTTCATCCTCATAACAAACCTCTTAGTTAGATGGCATTATCCCATTTTATAATTTGAGGAAACTAAGGGGTCTAAGAAGTTACGTAGTATGCCCAAGGTCAACCTACTAAGTGGCAGTGCTGGTCTTAGACTGAGGTGTAACTGATTGCAGAGGCCAGGAACTATACACCGCTTACTACTTTTTGACTTAACCTGGTCACCCTCTCTTTGCATGGACCCCACAGGAAAACAGAAGAAGCAGGAACAGCCAGTGGAAGAGGTGCTGGAAGAGCTGCGGGCCAAGTTGAAGTGCACCCAAGAGGAGCTGGAAGCCCAGAGGGAGGCTGAGCGGCAGCGGCATTTCCAGGTGAGTGTGGAGCAGAAATGTCAGGGAGACTTGGAGCACTCCACTCAGGACTCCTCAGATGAATGTGAGCTCATATATCCCTCAGGGCCATGATTCCTGCTGGCTTTTCCAGAGCTGGGAGCCAGAGTTTGGAATGATGCCTTCCCAGATTTGGCAAATGATTTTAGGTGGCATGGAGAAGAAAATTAAATTTGTCTGCCAGACCTATATGGCCAAAAATGGAGCAGAGAGCCAGTCTCCTGCATTCCAACACCCTCTGAAGGTATTCAAACCTGAATTTCAATTTCTTACACTACTGTTAACTCTTTGAGGACAAAGACTGGATTTGCTTCTGAAAGCTCCATAACCCAGCCCAGAGGAGGTGCCTAATAAATATTTGTAGAATGAAAATGCATAAACTTGCCTCATTCATTCCTTCATCATTCATTTACTCAGCATGCATTCATTGAGCACCAGCTCTACTAGTCATTGTGAGGGATATAAAGAGAGAGAAGACATGATCTCTATCATCAAGGGACTTTGTAGTTTTAGATGAGACTGTGGCTGAGACAGGCCCATTCACTCCACGTGGAAACAATGGGGACTGTGGGACAAATGTTCTCCATAGAGACTTGCGTGGACAAGGAACCCTAGCAGGTTTGCAGTAAATATTTACCATAATGTGGAATTAATGATTCTATTATGCTTGCTTTTCTTCTATAGGAAGCAGAGATCATTCGTCAGAGGGAGATAGAAGCTAAGAAAGAATTTGATGAATGGAAAGAAAAAGAGAGGACCAAGCTTTATGGAGAAATAGACAAGCTAAAGAAATTATTTTGGGATGAATTTAAAAGTGTTGCCAACCAAAACTCTACACTAGAAGAGGTATCCTGCGTAAAAGGCTTTTCAGACTCCTTTTGTTGAAAATCTGCTTATTCTCAAAATTTGTTTCATAGTTTGTACAAATTTTATTTCATCTGCTATTGGGCACTGTGAATACAGATCTCAGAGACCAGGGTCTGAGCATTAATCTTTACTCCAGCACATACTGGCTGTGTGACCTTGGGTGAGTTTTATAACCTCTCTGTGCCTCAGTTTCTTTTTTGTAAGATAGGTTGCTGGGTGAATTTAAATTAGTGTATATATACAGCACTTAGAACAGTATCTCCTGTATAGCAAGAACTCCCTAGATACTATCCTTATTTTTGCAGATAGGTTTTTTTTTTTTTTTTGTCACTGGACAAGAAATGAAACAAAATTTAAGGGAATGCATTTTTCTCCCAACAAATATTCACTGAGTGCTGGCTATCACCAGACACTCTGTTGGGCTCTGTGGGGGTCACTTGTAATAGGTAACATTTACTGATTGTATTTAGCATTTTCCGGCCCCTTGCAGGAAATTTACACACACTAATTTTTAATGTTAAGAACAATCAAACCACCATAACATTCTCAGTGTAGATGTATCATTAGTTTATTAATTGTTTTTAATGTTGGTGATCTTTTTTTTTTTTTAAGCTATTATCAGATCTCCTTTACAGGTAAGGAAATTGAAGCCAAGTAGGAGCTCTGGTAGTGTAATGCCTAAGGCACTTGACTGCTAACCAGAAGGCTGGCGGTTCAAACCCACCAACCGCTCCTCAGAAGGAAGATGGGGCAATCTACTTCTGTAGTGATACTGCCTTGGAAACCCAAGGAGGGGTCACTATGAGTCGGGTCTGACTCGACGGCACATAACAACAACAACTTCCTCAAGGTCATACATTAAGAGGTGCAGCGAGGGTTTGAACTTAGCTCTTTAAACTCAAAAACATCATTCTTCTATTGTATGTACTATCAGATTTATTCAAGAATATCTTACTAAAGCTATCCCTGGGCCATATCTTTCCATACAAAGTGTATTGGGAACAAGTTTTGAGGAAAAGTATTTTCAAAATGTATTTAGTGCTCAGTAGCTCTCCTAAGATGAAGAAAATCTTTTCTTTATTTTAAAAGTAAATTGAATTCTAGAATTTTTCATAATCATTCTAGCTTTTGCCTAAAGAAACATCTAGGTCACTTTCCCAGAAGGAGATTGCCATAGGAGATACCTGGAGTGTTGGTGACCCACCATCTCAGTCTGAGATGGAGGTTGAGGATGGAGGACGATGGGTGTGTGTAATCTATAATGTCCCTTGCCCTCTTATCCTAAATGTTCCCCACAGTGGTCAGGAAGGATTTAGGGAAGACAAGGTGCTGCTCCACAACATGGAGCTTGCGCCTAATACCTAGTTCTGTACGCACCATTCTGGACCTCATCTAAACCTCTCCTGACTCACATGCTTCCCTGACCAGTGCTAGCTGAGTGGACAGTCAATAAATAGGTGTGACTTTGAATTTGAAATTGTTGTTGTTCAGAAACTGCCTCATTCAAGGGTGAAAGGATTATGTCTGGTTGGAAGATTCTGAGTTTTGCTAAATAAGGACATAATCTTTACCACCCATGGTTTCATTTTTAACTTGGATCACGTTCTCCTAAACTGGAATATCCTATATGTTTTTTCTTCCCCATATAGGATTACTAAGGAGCTCTGGTAGTATAGTGATGAGGGCATTTGGTTGCTAACCAAAAGGTTGGTGGTTCAAACCCACTAACTGCTCTGTGGAAGAAAGAGGAGGCAGTCTGTTGTCATACAGATTTACAGGTTTGGAAACCCAATGGGGTTGCTATGAGTTGGAATTGACTTGATTAACCCAGCCCAGAGGAGATGCCTAATAATTATTTGTAGAAATATTTGTAGAATTTGGTTTTGACTTTGTGTTTTTTTTTTTTTTTTTTTTATTACTAAGGTGCCTTGGAGCTCTGGTAGCATAGTGGTTAGGCACTTGACTGCTAACCGGAAGGCTGGCGGTTCAAACCCACCAGCCACTCCTTGGAAGGAAGATGGGGCAATCTACTTCGTAGTGATACTGCCTAGCAAACCCAAGGAGGGGTCGCTATGAGTCGGGTCCGACTCAATGGCACATAACAACAACAACAACTGGTAGCACAGTGGTTAAGTGCTCAACTGCTATTTGAAAGGTCAGTGGTTCACACCACAAGGTGCTCTGTGGGAGAAATATGTGGCAGTGTGCTTCCGTAAAGATTACAGCCTTGGAAACACTATGAGGCAGTTTTACTTTGTCCTGTAGGGTCGCTATGAGTTGGCATTGACTCAACAGCAATGAGGTTTTGGATTTATAAAATTATTTTGTTATATTTTTGTGTTTGCCTCCTGTCTCCTCTCACCTAACATTTTATTATTTTACTTTTATTAAAAAAGTAGAGGAACCAAACTAGATATGGGAGTTCTCAGTCTTGTTGAAAAATTATTTTGTTAATTTATTTTTAAAAGTTCTAGGGAGAAAAAAACAGATAAGATCCCATTTAGAATGGTTGTGAAAAACATTGTAAGGTAGTTCATCTTCAAAACACAAGTAATGATTCTTCTTGATGTTATGAAGACCACTGAGACTAAATAAATTTTGAAAATATTTTTTCTCAATACTTTTTCCTTGATACATGAGTCTGAGCACTTTCTTTGACTAAGTTACCTGACTGAAGAGAGAGCTGTAGGTTAGATATGGGGTGATTCCAGCTGCCAAAGGATTCTCTAATTGAAAATATCATAAATGATTTATAGTGCCAAGAAACCAAGCCCTGTGATGTGTCAGCAGAAGCAGTGTGAAGACCAGAATGACATGTTAGAAGTCAGGAGTTGTGCATGCATCTGTAAAATGAAATTCATTTGACTCTATGAAAATATTCAGAGAGTTTAAAAATGGTTAGGAATGTTTGGGTGGTACAAACAGCGCGTTCAGCTAACTAGAAGGTTGAAGGTTTGAGTCCACCCAAAGACGCATCAGAAGAAAGCCCTGGTGATCTAAACCCAAAACCAAACCGACTGCCATCTAGTCATTTCTGACTCATAGCACCCCTCATTGGGATTCTGAGGCTGTAAATCTTTATGGAAGTAGATCACCCAGTCTTCCTTCTGCAGAGTGGCTGGTGGGTTTGAACCTCTGACTTTCCAGTTAGCAGTCAAGTGCCTTATCTACTACAGAAAAATCAGTCATTGAAAACCCTATGAAAAACAGTTCTACTCTGGCTCACATGGGGTTACCAGGAGTTGGAGTCAATTTGGCAAATGTTTTTATTTTTAAAGAAATGATTAACATTTGGACCCACTACAGGTAATCCCTGACTTATGATTTATTTGCGTTACAATGAAGCGCATGTATGACCATCTGTTTTTTATATGTAGGTGTGTACATCTTATCATTAGTAATATGTACTACATAAAATGTTGTAGCACCTAATTTATTGATGTTATCATTCTTGGATGTTCCCTCACAGATGTTCAATGTTTTATAAAGACATTGAAAATAAAAGGCAATAATAATGAAAACTAAAACAATTTGAAGTATTCAACTCATGTCGGAACAAACTTATGATGGGGTTGTTGGAAGGGAACCTCACTGGGCACTATACGTTAGGACTGGCTCACGGCACAGTTGTCAGAACAGAACATTTCTGGGGACTATACATCAGAACCAACTTATGACTCTGTTGTAAGTTGAATATCTTTTTTTCCCCCCAATTTTCATTGTTATTGCCTTTTGTTACCAGTATCTTTTTAAATCTGATTTTTGTCTTTGTGAGTTGGAAACATATAATATACAAACTTACAGACATATTTTAATACATACATAAAAAATACACAAAACATAAAAAGAAGGGATGGTTGTAAGTGCAGTTGGCCATAACTCAAATACATTGTAAGTCGGGGACTGTCTTGAGGATGGTTAAAGATTAGCAAGAATGATAACAAATTAAGCTCAGGGATTGTAGTTCCTTTAAGCTTTATTAGGCCTATGAGTTTTATACAGTAATAGAGATGGAGATGTGTTGCTTTTGTTATTGCAATAGTGATGTATTTTAAAATATAAACATTGTTGTTAGGTGCCATCAAGTTGGTTCTGACACATAGCAACCCTGTGTAAAACAGAACAGAATGTTGCCTGGTCCTGTGCCATCTTCACAATTGTTGCTATGCTTGGGCCCACTGTGTCAGTCCATCTCTTTGAGGGTCTTCCCCTTTTTCACTGACCCTCCATTTTACCAAGCATAATGTCCTTCTCAAGGGACTGGTCCCTCCTGATAACATGTTCAGAATATATGAAACAAAGTCTCACCATCATCCCTTCTAAGGATTATTCTGGCTGTACTTCTTGTAAGACAGATTTGTTCATTTTTCTGGCAGCCCATGGTATATTCAATATTCTTTGACAACACCTAATTCAAAGACATCAATTCCTTGGTCTTCCTTATTTGTTATTCAGCTTTTGCATGCTTATGAGGCAATTTAAAATACCATGGCTTGAGTCAGGTGCACCTTAGTCCTCACGGTGATATCTTTGCTTCTTGAAAGAGGTCTTTTGCAGCAGATTTGACTGATGCAATATGTCATTTGATTTCTTGACTGCTGCTTCTGTGGGTACTGATTGTGGATTGAAGTAAAATAAAATCCTTGACAACTTCAGTAAAATATAAACATAGGTGAGTAGAAAGGCATCATCTCTTTGACCAGTTTTCCATGCCTTTCCTTTCAGATCATACACAGCTAGCTCAGGAATCATCAGGCTTCAGTGGCATGGCTCCAGCCTTGCAAAACTAGCTTTTCCTGGTGATAGCCAATATATATAAATATATAAAAATATATATAAATATATATATATATATATATATATATACACACACACATACATACATACATATATATATATA